TTGTAAAGAATTTATAATTGCAAAAGTCAATAATAAGGTCTTTGATAATATTGTGCTGCCCTGTGAAATGCTGTTTAACAAATTTTATAAGTAATTTTAAGAAATTGTGCTTATAAGTATGCAACCAAGAAATTATATTTTAGTGAAATTTTCAGTAAGAAAGTATTTACACAATTTTTCAACAGAACACACATTTCACCTTACAAACAGTTTACCTTTATTATTCACAATACCACTTACTATATTTTACTTCAAGCAAACTACATCTTGATTGGCTTAACTCCCTAAATAATTATCGTTAAAATTAAAACTTGAATACAACCTTTAGGATTTTAATTTTTATTTAATTTTTTCTAGATTTTTTTATATATTTTTTTAAATTAATGTTTACAAAAAATTTTTAATATAACAAAGATAGCAGCTTGGCACTCAACTTTACTACATAAGCAGAGCCTCTATATAATTATTTGAAGAACACACTTCTCTTAAAAAAAACTTGCACCCCCAACGCTCATTATAGTAGGTAAGTTAGAATTAAAACTTACTATTTACTGCTTTAGTATTTTAAAAATTTTTTGTAGTTTTAAGTAGTTTCTAGATATGAAATTATTTTTAATTATATTTGTTTTTAAAAATTGTGAATTAGTTCTTTTTTTTTTATTGGTTTATATGGATTATGTCTAGTTCTTTTATGATTGCATATTCGAGTCTGGGAGATTTTGTAGACAAGGGTTTCTAAAATACTTTGTTTGATTATTTTTATAATTTTTTTTAAGTTTAATTATACTTATTTTAATTTCTCAAAAGACTTCATTAGTATTTTCCTTTAGAACTTTAATTCTTTAAATGCAATTTCTAATGGTACCACTTATTGGTATTTCGTTTGGACTTCTTCACTTTTTACTTTTGTTTTGACTTTACCTTGCCTGCAGAAGCGAAGCACGAATTGAATGATTGGAGAGTTAGGTTTGGAGGCAACTTCCCTTGATAAGTCTGTCTCCTGCCTGCTCAAACGTATTCCTTAGCATTGTTAAAAAATTGTTTGGATTAATTTAATTTGCTAAATTAGTGAATTTATTTTCATGGAATGATTTTTCACTTAATTGTTATGCTTGAATTTAAATGATATTGTAGATTAGTTCGAGAATTAAATTTTATATGTTTACACATTTTTTAAAATTTTTTAAACATTTTTTTCCTTTAAATTTGCTTTGTTTAATTTTGGCTTTAAATGTACTTTTTTACTTTCTACGTGTTTGTTAAAATTTAAATTTAAATTTGTTTAAATATATATATATAATTTCCCCTCCCTGAGTGTGCATTGGTATTATCTTACATATCAGGAAATAAATTCAGTGGTAAAGGTATGCAATTATTATAGATAACTGATGAAGAAATGTAGTTATGAAACTGAAAATTATATTTTCCCACTAGAGGCTTGCAAACTAAGCCATGCAAATGCTAGAAATGGGCAAGCCATCTCAGATTGCTAATAATAAGGAATTGTAGCTAATTTGTACATTTTGGCAGCAATGCAGAATGAAATAATTAGGAATAATCCATTACCATGACGGCATCTCTCGCCTTAATTGGAAGCCCTCATGTGCTTTGTTATATTCCAATAACTTGAAATAGTTTTCTACAGAATATAATAAGTTCCTCTTTTTATACCAAAGGGCATGAATTATTCTTTGAATGGTTAATACACAAAAGAACTTACAGCGATAGTTATAAACCAAGTCATATCCAAATAATAACTATGACCCATGGTAGTGTGATAATGATCACTGTACACCGTGTTCAATTTAACCCGTGTTCAATTCCGATAAAAGGACTGCCTATATGAAATCTTCCACATGTGTAAAGGGAATATAAGCCAGTTTCCCTTAGATGCTCCTCTCCTTTTCCATAGACAGAGAGTCCATGAATGAGCTGTAATCAAATAATTCATTCCAATTTATCTGGGAATAATGTTTTCACCCAATAAAGAGTCTATGCTAATTATCAGAAGTATCGCTTATTTTATTCACAGATGGTAAGCGTTTTTTAAGTTGATGGTATTGCCCATTGAGTAGGTAAGTAGTTTTTTAAGACCACAGTTTTAATTTTTAAAATATTCCCTGACGTACATTCTTTTAATAGTTAAACTTTTGACTTTCTTGTTTCCTGCACAAACAGTGTTTACTGATTTTTAACTTCGTTATGAATGTAATGGTTTGTCGTGTCTTTAGATATCTTGATACCAAGTTAGTTACATCTTCTTTTGCTCTGGCAAGTCAGAATATTTTTATTCGAAAAATGCAAAAACGTAGCTTCCTGTCAAAAATATATTAACCCAAACCATTTTGAGTTTATAAAAATTTTGACTATAACAAACAATTTATCCCTTAATATAAAAAATCTATTGCTAATTAATTTTATGGGGCTTTTTTAATTTCAGTTACTCACTTAATCAAAATACACTGCTCGACATTGAAAATGCAACACCAAGAAGGAGTGGTCAGAAATTTATGCAAATTTTAGGTAGAGCACGTCACTGAGTTATGCGAATGATGGAAATGCGAGCTCTCCAACGCACCTGAAGGAGATATAAGGGAAGGAACGTGAGAATGGGCATATTGCGTCGTTATTTCTGCCAGATGAATTATCGAAGAAAGTCGGTTTTTGTCCCGGAGGATACGTGTAATAGGAGGAGAATGCCAGGCCGCCGTCAACGAAGGCACTTCCACCAGATAGACGATTTTGTGATCGGACTGGGAAGGGCGGGTTGGTCTTTACGTCCAATCGCAGCTGATACCCACATAGATGCGAGCACGGTGCGTCGGCTATGGCCAACATGGTTGGAACGAGGAAATGTGGGAAGAAGGAGGGGTGCACGTGCAGCTAGAGTGACGTCAGCACGTGTGGATCGACGCATCCGCCGACAAGCTGTGGCGGTCCCGCAAGTCACTTGTACCGCAATTCTGCAGCATGTACAAGATACTCTGGATGTTCCCGTGTCGACCAGAACCATTTCCTGTCGATTGGTTGAACGTGGCCTGCACTCATGGCGTCCGTTAAGAACACTGCCATTGACTCCACAGCATAGACGCGAACGTAAGAATGGTTGCCGGTCTGGAGCGATGGGATGACAGAATGGCGAAATTGTTTCTCAGATGAGTCCGCGCTGTTATCCAGTGACAGTCGCCGAATGTGTGGAGCGACGTGGAGACATCTAATCCGCAGTAACTGTGGGCCCACCGCGCGAACACGTGGCATATTGCTTACGATTCATGTGTGGGCACTATGACGGCCCAACGATACTGAGCACTGCGGAGGCAATTCCTACCTCAGGGGCTGCTAATGCAATTTTTCAGCAGGATAACGCCCGACCACAAGTGCTGCATCTGCCAACATGCTCTACAAGGTATATAGATGCTTGCCTGTCCACCGTACTCTCCTGACCTGTCACAAATCGAACATGTGTGGGATGTGATTGAACGCCGTTTGCTGACTCTGCCCCTGCCTCGTTCAGAAGACGAACTGTGGCAAATGGTTGAAAGTGAATGGAGAGCCATCCCTCAGGACATCATCCGCACTCTTATTGACTCTATGCCTAGAGGGCATGTTCTGTGTAAATTTAGGAAATTGAAAATTGTTGTTTCTAATTTTTTAGATCAGAAAAATGAACTACCTGATGAAAGAACCCTATTATTTGACATCTGGCTATTTGATTTGGAATTTTCAGCCGATATTACTAGCCATTTCAATGATCTAAATTTAAAATTGCAAAGGAAGAATAAATTATTTCCTACCTTAGTAAATAGCATCAGTTCATTTGAAATGAAGTCAAAACTGTTCACCTCTTGCTTAGAAAATGAGGATTTGAGCCAATTTCCATGCTTGAAAAAGCAGAGGGAATATACTAAGAATAACAGCAATTCGATCAAGTATATTATTGGAAAAAAAAATCAAAATATTGCAAGGGACATTTAGAAGTCATTTTCATGATTTTGATAAAGAAGAAACTGCACTCTCGTCTTTATGAACCCATTTTTACGTAGTGAACAAAACATAATAGATGCCTAGTAACATACGATGCAACTAATTGATCTTAAAATAAAGCCACTCTTAAAAATGAAATTTGATGAGGTTTTTCCATATCAAATTGCTTCTGACGTAATTAATTTCTGCTTTTATTTACTGTGTGAACATTTCTCAGGGCTAACAACATTTGCAAAAAATTATATATGTCTTTTTTAAACAACATAAAGGTATGAACAAGCATTTTCATCAATGAAACTGATTAAAAGCAAAACAAGGTCGCGAGTAACTGGTTCAAATTTGAAGAATTCTGCTCCCAGTAACAAATTTAAAGCGCATATGAAAAGACCAGCGAAATCCAAACCGATTGAAAAGTTTCACCAATGGTAAACAATGTTTATGTGCTATAATAAATACTGTTTTACATACAATAATTGAATTAAATCATTTAAAATGTTAATTATGTCTATAAATATACTTCTATAAGCTAGGTTAGGTATAAGTGCAGGGGCCACTTATTATTTACCTTGAGTAAGTAGGTATAGGCCCCTTACACTAGCTATCAGAGTTGCAACGCCTTCCTGGGGCCCACGGTACCATTTTGGTGCCGAGGCGCTGCTGTGCAACCGACATCGCAAGCTACTGTCTATAAACATGGACATAAGATAGTATGAATAGTGCTCGAGTTATCTGGCGCATCTGAACTTTTGTGTCAAAAAATTGGCCCATTGTATGCAAAAAATTGGCTACCTCTACTTTATTGCTTCTCGTAGTTCAGTCTTCGAATCCACAATGACGTGCTTAAAATCGATTCTTTCTATAAGCAGACGATATATTAAATAGAACAAGCTCAAATGCTTTAAAAATCATTACCATTATTTATTGTTTGGCATTTTCCCTGGAAAAAATTCAATCCTAAAATTCTGTAGATGTGTTTCGTACATTGTATGTTTATTATATATAAATACAATACAACAGAAAGGAAACACAGATTTTATTAAATATGATACAATACAATATTTTATATTTTACATGTAGAATGACGCATCTCACCAATTTCGATGCGAATGTTTGCTGCATAAGAATTATTTTAAAAATCTCATTTTGCATGAAACTGTAAAAAAATATATCCTTATGAAAAGTCTACAAAAATTCAATTTATAATATTAAGTCCTGCATTCATGCGTAGTAAATAAAGAATTAAAAGAATAGATGAAATGATAAGTTCTATAAATAATCAAAATCAATCCATCACTTATAATGAAATCTGAACATACACCATTTAAAACACATTTGTATCCTTACTAATGGCAACACGTCAAAACGAACAGCAAAGACATTTAGATGTGAAAAATGTTGTAAATTATTAGTGATATATAGAAATACATTATAAATATATTCTGATAAATTCTAATCATTAAGTGCATACACGTTTTTGAAGTATAAACATTGACCACAAGAGCTTTTAGAAAATTCTAATAGTTATTAAGATTTATTTCTTAAAACTTTTCTCCTTTCAAGAATATAATTTGTTCGATGAGATAAAAATTATTTTTTACAATATTTCTAATTTGATAATTTTATAAAAAAGATTTAATTCAAAAAGTAATTTAGAGTCTCACCAATTTAGGGCTGGGAAATTAAGTTTCGAAAACTCCATATTTTATGAACAGGAGTGAACTTAGTGATGTAATAAATTACGATGATCAATGAAGATATGAAAAAAGTGCGTAAATTTGTACATCACTGAAACTTAATTCGTACGGGTTGGGAAAACTTGCCCATGCCCTCGTTCATTATATAGAAGCAAAATTTATTACAGCTTGATAAACAAAAACACTACACTAGAAAAAGCCTCATTGTACAGTCGATCCACTCGAAAGTTCTTAATCCATTTATTCACGATAGATGCTGTTTCTTCATATGATATAGCAGCAATTCGACTAATACTTTAATAATTAGATAGCAGATTTCCTATCTGAAAAAAAAAAAAAAAAAAAGAGTAGATTAGTGATAAATGAGGAAAAGAGAAATTAAATCATTACGCACTGTTTTTGCAATAAGTATTTTTAGAATGAATGTGAACATAAAGAATCTTTCGTTTCTTTGACTGACTTTGTAAACTCCAATTCAGGTTATTAATAACTTTGAAAATTTATTATACCGTACTTCCTCGCGTATTCCCCCCTTTTTATACTAATTTTGTCGTTCGAAAATCGAGAGGGGAGAATAGTAATCTAATTTTCGAAAAAAGCAGTTATAGTATGAACATAACAAATAAAAAGTAGTCATTGATAAATCAGTCGCAACTATCAAAATATTATTTCTTTGAAAGAAACCTACATTCTGATAAGAATACAAAGTAAATTAACAGAGTACTATCTGGCGGTTATCGGGTCCATATGTGACGGTAATTGAGCTGGACATGGGGTGCTTCTAACTGAATTACCTTGTAAAGCCCCAGGAGTATTTCACATAAATGAGTCTTGATCGAAGTTCCTAAGAGGGATATGGAAGTAACGAAGGTAGAAGGGGCGAGAATAAAAGACCCGGACTTCGAAAGATCGAACACATTAGGATAAAATGAAATGAAACGTAAATAAAAGAAGACGGGTGAAATCATATTGTTACGAAATGTACAGGCGCGGTAAGATGGCTTCCCCGCAAAGCAGTTTTAGGGTTGCCATAAAATATCAAGGAGGGCAAAAATGCACATTTGGCGAGAAATCGCCCATTTGGCGACAAAATTGGCGATATATGGAGACGAATGGAGAACCTTCTGGAACGAATTCTTACCGGTTTAGTCCAGAATGTTCCCGAACACAAGCCGAAAGCTATATAAACCCTGCTGGTCCGCAGTCAGTGTGTGTGCCGCGCCTAGCGAGCTCATAGAGTGTGTGCCTCGTCGAGTGCGAGATAGTTAGCATCGAGTTGGTGTCTCGTCTAGCGAGTCAATCCCTGCGGAGTCGATCGAGTTGACAGTCGGGCAGCGAGTGCCGAGTGCTTACCGTTTAGCCCAGAGTGTTCTCAAACACAAGCCGAAAGCTATATAACCCTGCTGATCCGCAGGTCAGTAGTAGTATTGAGAGGTGTCCTCGTATAGAGAGTCAGTCCGTGCGGAGTCGATCGAGTTGACAGCCGGGCAGCGAGTGCCGAGTGGGTCGTCGAGTGCACCGAAAGAGTCTCGTAGAGTATCGCGGTTAGTGCATCGTCGAGAGAGCATGTTGAGCTATGGAAACGACTGAAGCGAGAGTCAGGAGCTGTGCTCTGTGAGTCGTCGAGTGCATCGTGAGTTGTAGCGTTGGAGAATCTCGAGAGTAAGTCGAGTTCCGAGAACGACCAAGCAGAGTCGGGAGCTGTACTCCGGAAAGCAGAGTCGGATGCTTTGCAGGAAGCTTGTCTCCACCGTTATTGCCTGACAGTGTGAAGGCTGTGTCGCTGATTGTTCCAGCGTGTTTATAGTAGTTCATCGACGACTGTTAAACGTGTTTTGGAGCTGTCCTGACAATACTGACTAATAAAGTGTGTTTCGACACTTCATCAAGTGTCGTCGTTATTCACTCCAAATCTACAAACCCCGTACGAACGTGAAGGAAGAAAATAACGTAACAACTGGTGTCAGAAGAAAAACGCAACAACTGGTGTCAGAAAAAGTAAAACGTAACAATATGTTCGAAAAGTTTCTTAAGTGTGAGAACACCTGCCACGTCGGGTTAATGAAAAATATATGCAAAATACTTTTCAAATAATATAGGCAAGGGAAAATAAAATGGATGAAATGGTAATACAAAAATGCAAATACAATTTGAATGCACTGATATAAATGAATACACTGAATAAAAAATAATCAGGGAAATACAATTTACTAATAAACTAGTTCTCAGAAAATAAAACTACATACAAGAGGAAAAGGGGAAAATTAGGGAATATTTTAAAAATTTTCAGAACCTAGAGTTAGGCGGAAGATACACAGCAAATAAAATTTTATCCATTGGCTTAGTTGAGGTAGTCATGAATAAGTTTGTATCATGCATGGAACACATTAAAGTTCTTTTAATGAATCAACATTTCCCCAAATTGAGCGATAAAAGAATGGTTATGCACATTGATGTTTCTGACTAATATAACGGAAACATCTTAATGAACTAAGGATTGCAAGGAAAGGAACAAACAGGTGCTTAAAAGTTATGAATATTGGGAAGGCTTTGCTACAAAATTAAATATATTTTTTCGTGATATTAATACCAGTATCTATAAATACTTCCTAAATGTAAAGCTCTTGATAATACATCGATCTTAGTCAAAGATGAACTTAAAACCTATGTTGGAGAACTTAAGCAGGAATTTTCTAAAAGATGCAAAGACTTTGAATCCCATATTTACATTTCCAATCAAACCAGATTTAATAGACCCATTAATAATCTAATCAGATTTGTCAATTTTTGAGTGGATGGAAGCTGATAATTTTAAAATGGAACTTACTGGAATAACATCTTCAGGATCATGGAAAGCAAAATTTATGGAATTACAAAAAAAAAAAAAAATCTGGAAGATAATTCTAATGATAAATCGATAGCTATTTTATTTTAAATGGTTGGTTGTCACTGCCACAGAGATTTAATCGTTTATAGAAAACTGCATGTGTTCTACTTTCCGCTTTTGGTTCCACATATCTATGTGAACAAATCTTTCCTCATAAGAAAAATCCATAAAAAAGTCTCCATAAAGAAGTTGTTTAGCAAATGAATTTCAAAATTATGTGTCAAATTGAAAGTCGGAAATTATACCCCTGAGATTGCGATATTAACACGTTGACAACGGCTTGACCCACCGGTGGGTCATGCTTGATTGTTCCGCGGGCCGGCATGACTCACCGATGGGTCAAGCTTGTATATAAAAAAAAATATGTAGTACAAAATTTTATTTTATTTTAATTATTCAACAGTATATAATAACAATCAGTGATGAAATGCTTAATCAGACTAGAGTTTTTGAAGTATATATTAACATTTCAGCATTATAATCAAACATTTAATACGAAACAAATAACTTAAAATGTAACTTATAAATTAAGTATAATTATTAATTTTTTTCTATGCAATTTTTAAAGCAAGCTAAACAAAGTGCCGGCGTGCCCTTACAATTACCGCCAATACTTTGTTACTTTCTTTGCTCTATTAGTAGCGTACTGAAGACCTTTTAGGCTTGCTAAGCATTTATAGCATTTTTTGCATCACTCTTTTGTCTTCCTCACGGATCCTTCGTACGAAATTTTAAAACAAAATTTTTTTTTTAGTTATTATTACTTCACTAGGGGGACTCACAAAACGGATTGACAACGAAACGGACCGCTCATTCAAGCACCGCCGCACGAAAAGAACAATAAATAACCGCGCCGCCGTTAACGAGTTAAGTAGTGCAGTACAGGGACAAGGTTCACATTAAAATTTAAATTTTTTATTTAACTATATTGAAGGAATGCTTATATTTTATGTCGTTTATTATTTTAATAAATATGTTTAAAATATATATATAATACATGTACAATATTATTTTTTTATTTTATGTTGAAGGCATAGTTTTATTTTATGTTGTTTATTTTTATGTTAATAAATATCTTAAAATGATGTATAACTAATATACAGGGTAATTTATAAAGAAGTATACAGTTTTAGAACTTATTTAGTTTTATAAATCAAGAACAATGTAAAATATTATATGTTACCTGTAACAGAACTGTATGGGATTATTTTAAGTTTTGTTAGAGACAGTCAAAGATGTTCTATGTGTGAACCTTTAGTCACACGACAAGGTGCAAACTCTATCGGCGACTTCTTGGGACACAGTCGTCAGTTAGTGGTCCAAGACTTTTACTTTTGCACAAACAGCTCGTAGTTTAAAAATTTTCATGCTATTCATAAATAGATTTTCTAGTTGAAGGTTCTTTTCCGAATTGTGATCGAAAATGCAGTTTCGGATTCTGTTTTGATAAATTCAAGAACACATAAAGCCTTCTTCCACTGCAGACGTCGCCATGACATGCACGACATAGTTGACGAGTCGCATGACATGCACATTATTGCCTATGTCACTTCCTTCAGGGGCTAGACACAAACTTTAAGGGTATGTCTACCTTGTGGTTCGCTGAGGTGGTGCGCGTCTTTGACTATAACTGTTTTACAGCATCTGGAAAGTGTATACTTCTTTATGAATCAGTCTGTATAATAAAACGTTAAATCTGTAATTCTTTTCCTCTCTTCCTTATCTCTGTATGCATTGCCGCGAGAATCTAATTGTTTTAAATATTTCTTACTGCGCGGCTTCCTGAATCATATTGGTAGATTGATTTTGCACAACACAGCTACTAGGTTGCCGACTCCCGTTATAGGATATATAGGGTATATAGGTTGTCAAGACAAACTCGGTGACAGAGAGCATCGAGAAAAAAAATATTGCCATGTAACACGCTATTGTAAACCACATTTAGTCAGTGAAAGCAGTTATGAAAAGAGTTATGGAGTGTCAGACATCGAGCAGTAAGTATGAAACCATTTTATTTCACAGCGTATTTCCTAAGCAGTTTGTGTTGCAGATTCCAATGCCTTGTTCGAAGTGGCGATTGCTGACATGACTGTACAATCCATAACGGCGGTGAGATGAGGGTTGGACGTGTTCGAATATCCAGGATATGTTGTCGTTCACGTTCTTCCATTCAAGCTGTGCGCATATTTGGAGGTCGTTCTCTATACCTTGCTACCTTGAAGGGCATAATCTCTTATAATCTTTGATCGATCTTGGTGAAGTTGGTATGGTGCAAACAGCACCTTTTGGGATACTGCTCTTCACACATCCGCTGTACCAAGTGTCCACTGCCACCTACTCGAACGTAAATCAAATTCATATCCGCGTATTCCTCGTTCGTGTAGTTAACCATTCGTTTCCGAATGAATAAGACAATTAATTGCTCCGCATGACTAC